TATCTACCACACTATATCAACAATGAAAGTAAAGAATAATGTAGTAATATATCTACCACACTATATCAACAATGAAAGTAAAGATTGAAGTAATATATCTACCACACTATATCAACAATGAAAGTAAATAATAATGTAGTAATATATCTACCACACTATACCAACAATGAAAGTAAAGAATAATGTAGTAATATACCAACAATAAAAGTAAAGATTGTAGTAATATATCTACAACACTATACCAACAATGAAAGTAAAGATTGTAGTAATATATCTACCACACTGTACCAACAATGAAAGTAAAGATTGTAGTGATATATCTACCACAATATACCAACATTGAAAGTTAATAATGTAGTAATATATCTACCACACTATATCAACAATGAAAGTAAAGATTGTAGTAATATATCTACCACACTATATCAACAATGAAAGTAAAGACTAATGTAGTAATATATCTACCACACTATATCAACAATGAAAGTAAAGACTAATGTAGTAATATATCTACCACACTATACCAACGATGAAAGTAAAGAATAATGTAGTAATATATCTACCACAATATACCAACAATGAAAGTAAAGATTGTAGTAATATATCTACAACACTATACCAACAATGAAAGTAAATAATAATGTAGTAATATATCTACCACACTATACCAACAATGAAAGTAAATAATAATGTAGTAATATATCTACCACATTATATCAACAATAAAAGTAAAGACTAATGTAGTAATATATCTACCACAATATACCAACAATGAAAGTAAATAATAATGTAGTAATATATCTACCACACTATACCAACAATGAAAGTAAAGAATAATGTAGTAATATATCTGCCACACAATACCAACAATGAAAGTAAAGATTGTAGTAATATATCTACCACGATATACCAACAATGAAAGTAAAGAATAATGTAGTAATATATCTACCACACTATATCAACAATGAAAGTAAAGACTGTAGTAATATATCTGCCACAATATACCAACAATGAAAGTAAAGAATAATGTAGTAATATATCTGCCACACAATACCAACAATGAAAGTAAAGATTGTAGTAATATATCTACCACACTATACCAACAATGAAAGTAAATAATAATGTAGTAATATATCTACCACACTATACCAACAATGAAAGTAAAGAATAATGTAGTAATATCAAATTCGATGACGAGGAACCCACTTTGAGACTAATAATGGCTGGAGACGGCTTGAATGGGTAATGAAGAAAAACTTTAATATAAGTTTAACATAACAGCAAATGTACAACGTTTCGACTAGGTTTTATCATCATTATGAATGAACACGCTGAATGAACATAATGGTCATAACAGTTATATGTACGGTA